TTCCTGGGCTGAATTGGATATGAGTACTCTTATACATTACTTTTACGCCTATCTGAATGGACATAAATATAATCGTTAGATGAATCAAATAAATAGTTTTGTTTTAGTGGGTCATCTAAAGGACGATTATTTGTACAAGCTGTTGCAGGTCGGATTTTTAGTATCCAAATTGCCCGTTAGTCAGTGCCTGACGTACTGTCGTAAGTAGACTAGCGTCCTTGATAATTGCATGCGTTGGTGAATTTTTTTCTAGTGGTTAAATCGGAGTTACTCGGTATGCCATAAGGTCTACTGACTGAGTGGTGCACGCGCGATCTGTGTTTTGATAATAATGTGGGGGCGAAATAACTACGGGGTCGTCGCACGAATCGCATCCTAAAATTATAGATAGTGTGAACTTTTATTAATTGGCCCCTTCACTCAACAGACACAGCGTAGACGATATTGGGGGACGTTTGGAGGCATAAAAGACGCATTTTAAATAAAATCAACTTATAAATAGGCACCATCTTTGCATTTCATAAGCTAGAGGGTAGTGCACTCAGAGCGACAAGGGACGCATTCCGAGACAGCTGTGCAGGTTAGTCACCTGCAGTTACCTTTGTACCTCCTCCAGTTTTGCCGATGCAATATTTAGACATAATATGCCTACGATATTGCGGCGAATTTTGCTACCAGTGTGTGTTGAAGGCCCAGGTGCTATTAGGTACCCTCATTGCAAGACTGTGATTCGAACCCGGATATCCGTGGTCTCTTCGAACCCGTAGATTGATTGGTTGACATTGCTCGGATTCATAAGTGAAATATAGTTAATGACTGCCAATAAATGAAATAAACTGAAGAAAAAAAGTGGGACGAACTAATGAGCCACCAGCTAATTACAGTAACATTTTAGATGCAGGCAATCTTTTGCAGTTTCAAAGCGTTCGCGTAGATCGCTATGTCGGTTATTTCTCTTTGAAACGACTTCACCGCCTAGCCGCTGCTATCACTAACTTTGACTTAGTAATAGGAGCCTTACAAAAGTGATAGTTGTTCGATGTCAGTCGTTCTAAATAATGGTTTTCGGTTGCTATCTATCTACTTGTTTTGGAGCGTTACACGCTTTCAGTAGCCTTCCCATACTTTGGCGTTCGTATAGTGAAGCTTTACTAGTCGTTAAAGTTTAGAATAGCTTTACCACAGGTCTTCTTCTTCAATTTGTTTTGCATTGCTGGTGATGAACTTCAGTCACTCCCGCTATATAGCCCGTTTCATTAGGTTTATACTAACAAGCATGTTCTTGGCTTCTGCAGTTTTATTTTTCTGTAAAATTTATCGCATACACTTAAGTAGAACCTTCAGTTTCAAGACGCTTTATAGTATAACCTGCAGCGAAAAGAACATCCTATCCGGTAATTCGACCCAAATTCAACAATGAGCAGTCAAGCATCGGCAAGTTTTATAATTGAATTATATTGTGTAGGTCATTGAATGCCGTGCGGCTGTTGCGTGGGACAAGAATCAACCTCTCGTCATCGAAAAAATTAAGGTTGATCCGCCAAAAGCTGGTGAGGTTAGAATCAAGGTTATTTCAACCGGTCTCTGCCACACTGATGCTTACACTCTAAGCGGACAAGATCCTGAAGGCGTGTTTCCCGTAATTTTGGGTCATGAAGGGGCTGGAATCGTGGAGTCAGTTGGCGAGGGTGTGACATCCGTCGCCGTTGGCGATCACGTCATCCCTCTGTACATTCCCCAGTGTAGGAACTGCAAGTTTTGCAAATCTAAGAAGACCAACCTATGTTCCGTCATAAGGTAGAATATGGTTACTCTAGTTTTTCTATTTTCTCAGAGATACACAAGGCAGAGGTCTTATGCCTGATGGAACTTCGCGTTTTTCTTGTCGTGGACAGAAGATCTTTCACTTTATGGGATGTAGCACTCTGAGCGAATACACGGTTGTCTGCGAAATCTCCGTCTGCAAAGTTAATACTGCTGCACCCTTGGACATTATAGGATTACTTGGATGCGGCATTAGTACAGGCTATGGAGCTGCCCTAAATACTGCAGGTATACCATCCCGTCTTTCTTATCAAGTTGATTCATACGGCGACTTTATGAAATTCTTGACCTTTCTGAAGACTTACTCCCTTACCCCCCTCCCCCACTAAATAACTGTAGCGGCTTTTTGTGGTCTCATTCGCGTAGCCATCACAGTTTCCCTACACTTTTTGGAAGCTTTGTCCCAACTTTGATACGACAGTCTCTGCGCCGCTCAAATGCTCCTGTCCAAGTTAAAGGTTATAGTCGACGTAATTTTAGCATTGAAAAAATACTGCCATTCTCCTTTGATATAACTGCCTTATCGCCCTCAGCCTCCCCTTCTACAAAGTCTGGTTTATTGTATTCTGATGCATTCTGTGGCTGCATATACAGCAACTTTGCAGTTGTTTCACAGTCCGAGCAGCTCTTTTTCACAACGTTTGCCATCGGTCTGTTTCTTCGGCCGAAAGCTAGCTGTACCCCACCGTAATTAATGCGTAAGTTAGGTTTTTAGCCATTTCGAAGTCAGTCTTTGTTTACAAAGCGGCTTCTTCTCTGCGCGATCGCCTCTAAAAAACAAAGCCCAAGTCTGTTTACGGTTTCATTCAATGAAATCATACCTAGCTGGCTATTTGATTATACGAATGCGAAGTTATTGCAAAGTGGTTAATTGTGCACATGTTTACAGTGAATATGGTTACACCGATGTATACAAACTGAAGTTAAGCATACATTCAGTTAAGGCCGACCGGGATGGCGCGGCTTCCGCTGTAAAAAGGGGGATGTTTGATGATTGTTCCAGCTATAATGTCACAGCACGTCTATTCGACTATTTGTTTTGTGGGAAAAGTGTGATTTCTGCTTAGACCTGGGCCTCTACCTCTTTTCATCAGCAAGTTCTTTGATGCTTTTTTGTGCTGTTTGCTGCGTGTGTGATAACACTACTGACAGAATTGACACACAAGTCCCGATTTACCAAATGAGTACAATTTAATCTATAGACAAATCTATATGAATGCAGCCAGCAACGACCGACCTCGTTCCAGGGAATGATAGCCAGAGAGAGTCCGGCCTGTGCCTGCGACCTACCCTGCTAGCTACCACGCGGTTTCATGGGCTACATAGTACTTTTTATCGTTTCCTACTATAATTAGCTTGTCCGGCCACATACCACCACTTATCAACCCAAACCGAAAAGTAATCCGCCGGCTACCTTTACTCGATTATTTGGTTACAGTAGCTTATGTAGGCCCACTCATTAATC